AGGAATGCTCTCTAAGTTATTTCGTTTGGAAACCACTGCCCTGGATACTGGCTTGAGTCCCCTTGCTCTAAGTCCTCTTAACACCCGATAATTTTTCTTTCATAAAGTTCAGCTCACTTGTGATTAACACCTGTCCTTCCTGCTCAACATTTACTTCACTGCAGTCTCCTCAAGGCTTAGCACACAGTAAGCACTCAAATATTAGCTGAAATGAATTTTACTATCTTCCCCCCAACAAAACTCTTTCCAAGGATCTGATTAAAATGCAGTGGTTTGGGGGACTTCCCTGGAGATCCAGTGGTTAGGACTCCGTGCTTCCACTGCAGGGGGCACGGCTTCAGGGAGCTAAGATCCTGCAAGCCACACAGCGTGGTCAAAAAAAAAAAAAGCAGGGGGCTTCCCTGGTGGCGCAGTGGTTGAGAGTCCACCTGCCGAAACAGGGGACACGGGTTCGTGCCCCGGTCTGGGAGGATCCCACATGCCGCGGAGCGGCTGGGCCTCGTTCAAAGAAAGGTTTAAGGAGAACCTCAATATGTAAAACATAACAGCAGGGCCAGCATGGAAGGACCTTAAAGCTATTTATCCCTATCCGCCCATTCTACCTAAGGGGCCCACAGAAAAAGAATTGAAAGCCCCTGTTTTAGAGCCGTGTAAAAGTATCACTAAGTTAATATAATTAGATATAAATAAAATCATGGAATTTGTTATCAAGTTAATTAGTTTAACTTGATTACTGCTGTCAGCAATCAAAGATGCCAGGAAGACTGTTTTTCCTTTATCCTTCATCAGCAGGCTGCAAAATGATTAAGCAGAAGAGGTCAGATTTTATGCCATTCCATAACATTATCACATTTTCTCTGCCTCTTTGTCACTCAGCTCAGTTCAACAGAGGAAAATAAACACCCAACAGATATTATGAGAGATGTATGAAAGGGTCGGAATTGCTACAGGAAAGAATTTAAAGGAACAATCATTGGCTCAACCACTAAACAAGTTGATTTTATTAGTTCACGGGCCACACAGGCACATACCATGTGAGAGACAAAGTACAAAGCCAAACAGAAGGTAAGATTATTCTAGTGTTTTTATAATCTATTTTTTCTGAAACAACATATACTATGAACACCTTTGTGAAAAAGAACGTGGACTCTGGAATTAGAGCTGCATTAAAATTCTGGCTCTGGGGACCTCCCTGGTGGCACAGTGGTTAAGAATCCACCTGCCGGGCTTCCCTGGTGGCGCAGTGGTTGAGAGTCTGCCTGCCGGTGCAGGGGACACGGGTTCGTGCCCCGGTCTGGGAAGATCCCACATGCTGCGGAGCAACTAGCCCCGTGAGCCACAATTACTGAGCCTGCGCATCTGGATCCTGTGCTCTGCAACAAGAGGCCGCGATAGTGAGAGGCCCGCGCACCGCGATGAGGAGTGGCCCCCACTTGCCGCAATTAGAGAAAGCCCAC